ATATATATATATATGTTCGGAATCAATCGTTTGCAAATTGGCGCACTACATTCATTCGGAACCATCCACCATGGATTAGTGCCAGCAAGGTGCCAATCCACTATGTGCCAGTGCCCATCCGCACCCGCCATCCGGAGACCAAGGAATGGCAGACCGAAACAAGGTCGCACACATTATGACCGCTTGTACATGTACACATGTGTGTGTAACCTTAGGCCTGCATGTCATCTAGGTTTGGCTTGTTGTCACCATGCAGGCAAATGCCTCTGGTGCTTCCACATGAGCTATGCCTATACCTTCACAAGAAGCACTGGTACGAGGAGTATGCATGTGCAGCTGAGCTGAAGAAGTTCTGGCATCACTTCAAGGAATGCACGAATGAGGCGGCCATCAAATGGCCCTCCCAGTGGGAGGCTTCTTGTGTGCCAATCGGCCTTCATGGTGATGATTGCAGGTTCACTGAAAATGGACAGAAGGTGATTTGTGTAAGCATGAACTACCTACTGGACGAGTCTCAGGAGCGATTTCCACTCTTCATCATCCGATGCGAGTCTCGCCTGCAGTAACTTCCATGTGCTAGATAATGATCTCGTGACATGTCGTTCTCATGGTGCAGGCACTGAGCACAGGATTTGATACATTGGAGGCCTACATGAAGCCGGCTACTTGTATGCAGTATTCGACTGTGTGCATGTCGTGGGTCATGTAGCTAAAATTAAATCTAAATACGTATATAAAGCATCATGAACATCAGAGCGAATTCAATTGATCAGGTGACCACCAGCCTCAACCTTGCTTGCAGGGGCATAGCACCTCCACGATTTATCGTAAATCCGGATATTGATCCTGTTGACGAGTACGAGATGAACGACATCGATGATGAGCACCGATTCCCGGCATCCGTGCTTTGTGAGTTTCGTGGCGACTGGAAGTTCGTCAAGGATTTCGAGTTCTGGGGTACACATAAAAAATATATGAAATTCATATACCCCTGACAGGAAATATTCGGTCTATCTTCAGGCTGGAATAGCGCATGGGTGTGCCACCACTGCATGGCCCACGACAATACCTACCTGGTGTTTCCTTCACGTCTACCGCTATGTCGGCGCCGAACACTTCGAGCGTTCATCGAGCTTTGCAAAAAAACAGGCAAGGAGATCGCTGCAACACGGCATTAAGATTATTGTTTTTCTTCATGTGCCCGATGTGCATGCAGTGTACACATATACCTGTACATGTGCATGTGGTATATCTATATATGTGAGGCAGCTTGCTGAAAGTTCGTGGTTTCGACCACAACTACATAAAATGGTGCTCACTCCACAGCTTGAACCTTGGAGTCTGCTGCTGGGCCCTCGCTTCGGCCTTGCTGGAGCTGCTGAAGTACGAGGTTTGTTGCATGGCCATGGAGAAATAAAGTTACAAATTCTAGATCTCCCGTGCTCTGAACCAGGATCTTTGGCCAGCCCCTCCGAATACTCCGGTCAAACACGTACTGAATGCTCGACTGGCTGCCGCTTATGTGGATTTCACGAAATGGGCTAAGCGATTGAAGATCGAGAGACTCGGTATGAACTTAGCTCACATAGCTCGACAAACCACCTGAGCTTGCACTGATATGGACGTCTGCAACTTAAGGCACTCCCAGCCCGAGTTCGCTGCGAAGAGCCTTCGGGACACCATGACAGGCTATGCGGAGCTAGCTTGCAAGGGCCACAATGTGACCTGCATGCTATATACACCTCATCATGCAGCATACCACGTACATCTAGCGCTCTTTGGGGCATGTATATGATCGCGAATTGTGGGCTTAGGCTCGAGTGGTCACGGCTTGGATGAGCTTCAAGCTGTGTGAGCTCCATTCCGAAAAGCAGGGTGCACCCCGATTTGATGAAATGGTGAAGTGTCTGAGTCTTGGTCTGCATTTTCAAGTTTTAGTGGTTATGTAGGAGGGCGCCGCTGCTGACAGCCACTTAGATTTATGATCGTGCTTCGAAGGTACTGGCTTGCAGAATTCTTCAATCGGATGGAGAAGTATCCTCGCTACCTGAGTACGGACCAGCGTGTACACTTGGTGGAAGCTTGTGCCGCTTGGTGATATGATATATAGCTGCCAAACTGATTCTTCCGAGCCACAATCAGCTAAGGATAATTGCTGTGTATCGTATGGGAAGCTGGCAAGGATGGCAGCAGAGTCGGGTGAACGACTGTGGGCATTACGACCCAAGCTTCATGCACCTCGACTGTGTTCGATTCTTTTTTACAGGTACATATACATGTACATGTTTCACATGCATGCCATATGTGAGCTCAGGGATGGCAGGAAATATCCCAGATGGCTCTACTCGATGGTTTCTCGAATGCACATACAACGCAAACATGTTTTCATCGGCCTATGGTGTGTGTGTCTGTGTGTGTGTGAGCATGTGTGCTGCACCACCTGTTTGAGGCCACAACCCGAAGTACTGCCACACATTTCGTGATGAATCCTTTATGGGAACGGTTAAAGGCCGGGATTGACCAAAAAAAACACGTCTATCGAGCATCGAGTTCGTTTCCTTCTTCCTGCTTTGTGTGTCCTGGGTCAGGAGTGGCTAAAATGTGTCACCGCCGAAGCTTGGAGTATTCGTTCCTGCGAAGGTTTTACTCCACTCTGTAGCAGCATGAGCATTTTCAATTCGATCAGCAAGTATCGGCTAATTCGAAGGACCGTGCGAGCAACATGAGCAAAAGATTGGCTCGTTGATTCCATGTTCCCCTCAACAAAGTATAGCTCCAGACACACCCATAAATTATATGTAGTCCCTACAACATTCCCCATAATGGTCTTATCAACATATATTGTTCCAGATTCAACTTTCGCAAAGAACCCCAAATAAGGATACCTTTGGATCCACAGGG